CTCTAAGTAGAAACATCTCCAAACTGACCTCTGCTTTCTCTAGTGTCCAACTTCCCTCCATATCTGAAGAGCCTCAGAAGTGTGTATGTGTGTGTGTGTGTGTGTGTGTGTGAGAGAGAGAGAGAGAGAGAGAGAGAGAGAGAGAACTAAGGACCCTCAGAAGTGTGTGTGTGTGTGTGTGTGTGTGTGTGTGTGTGTGTGTGTGTGTGGTCTCAGCATGAATTAACTTGCAGCTTCCCCTTTGGCTGGACAGTGTCACATTTTACCCAAAGCACAGTATCTTCCTCACCTGAGGCATCTGCGGATCATTGATGTCCCACGTGAGTTTCATCCCATAGGAAAGCACAGAGTCTGCGTCCTGTGTGGTGTCTGCAGGCATCTGCAAGGGCCTCCAGGACTCTCTAACCAGGATCTTGAAAGAGAAAAACAAGGTGACTCCTTCCCCAAAATGAGAAGTAGGCTGAGAGAGGTGAGTGAAATGAGGAGGAGGAAAAGGAGGAGGAGGGAGGAGAAAGGTGGAGGAGGGGCAGAGAAAGACACACAGAGAGAGGGAGGGAGGGAGGGAGAGAGAGGGGGAAACAGAGAGGGAGAGAGAGGCAGAGAGGCAGACACACACACACACACACACACACACACACACACACACACACACACACATACACGGGGCGGGGGGGGGGGGGGGGGGGGGGGGGGGCAGTTGGCCCAGGTGAGTGCCCTGTCCTTGGCCGCGGTGCTGAAATCTCTCTCTCTAAACGCTAGCATCTTTAAGCAGGTTAAAGAGGACCCACTGCCGCGGCTCTGCCTCTCTACTGGATCACCTCTCCAGCACCTGCAGCCACAGCAGTCAGCAGCAGGCTTCTCTACCTAGGCAGAGCCAAGAACGCAGGGGCAAGTCAACATGAACTGCTGAGCGAAGGAAAACTGAAGCCGAGAAGCTGGCGACCGGGAGCAAGTAGAGCAGTTTAATTTATGCTGAAAACCAAAACCGACTGTGTGTCATCTTCTCTGCGGGTTCTGGAGAGGGCTTGGATTGAGGCTCTGGAAGCAAAGGTTTCCAGCCAAGTCTCTCCAGAGCTTTGCGCTGTGGGGAAAGTGAGAGAGACTGGAGAGCCAGCAGCCCGGGGGCCCCTGCAGCCTAGGGGCCAGCCTCCTTGGAGCTCTGGGTTCTTGGAGCAGTTGCGTTCTCGAGTCTGTGTTCTGTGGTTCGGTCTGAGAGTATGTTTAGCATCCCAGTGCGTTCTCAAGCCTAGGCTCACTTCAGGCTGGGGCAGTCCTGACCACCGGGAAAAGTCCTGGGAAGTGAATCTGGAGGTTGGGGTCAGATAACCCTGGGATAGACGGACAGGGAGGGAGGAGAGTCAACTCTGCCGCTGGAGCTCCCAGCCCAAAGAATGTCCTCCCTCTCTGCACCCGCTCATGCCTTTATGGCTCTCTCCCTCTCCGCTCTCCCTCAGCACCCATAGTTAAAGAGAGAGGCCAGGGGTTTGTGAGTTCTCAGTTGCCACCCATATGAACACCCTTGTTAAAACAGACTGTACTGCCACTGTCGCTACTACTCCTAGGAGATCACCTTTATCCTCAGCGGCTTTGGAGGACCCGAGAACGGTTGTCTAGAAGGCTGAAAGACCACCCCCCACCCCCACCCCAAACCTGAGGCGACTTCTCTCTTTCGTCTCTCTCTCTCTCTCTCTCTCTCTCTCTCTCTCTCTCTCTCTCTATCTCTATCTCTATCTCTATCTCTATCTCTATCTATCTCTCTCTCTTTTATTCTCTGCTCCTCTCATCTCCTCCCCTCCCCTCCCCTCCCCTCCTCGCTTGCTCGCTCGCCACTGCAGAGCGGGATCCCAGACCGTGAGCAAAGGTGGGCTTCCGAATCTCTTCCCCGTGCTTGCTTTGCAGCTGGCACTCTTCCACGGTCGGTCTTAGCCAAAACAAACGAATACATAAGTAAGTAAATAAATAGATACGCGAGTAAATAAAATAAATAAACGAACAAAACCCACTGTACGGGTCGCTGTTAGCGGTGGTGTGCCGGTTCAGGTCCGTTCTGGGATGCTCACTGGCATCTCAGACCCAGCAGGGCAGCATGGGTCTCACTCTGCTTGATCAGAGCCAGGTCGGCGCCTTGTGCAGGAGCAATGCCCGCTTCTGTGCAAACTTCGAAAGGGCTGGTGCTTTTTACCGCCAAGGTTTCTGTGTAGAAACCTCAGGAAACAGGGATCTTGCACGCTCCGGGGCCTCTACCTCCCAGTGAAGAGCTTGCTTGCTAGAGAGAGTCAACTCAATAGAAAGCCTGCGGGCCAGTTCGGACCACGGGGAGGAGAAGAGATGAGGGTTAGGGGTTGGGCACCCGCTGAGAGCATTTCCTGGGCTTGCTTCCTGAGCTCCAGGCTGGATTCTTGTTTTAAATTCGCAAAGTCCTAGCAGATGAGAGATTTGTTAACTTCAGAACGTTTCACCGAAGTTCTTTTCTAAAAATCGCCCTCACCTTACTGAGGTGTGGTTGGGGACAACGAAGTGTCCCCGCTTTCCACTGCGCCCTCCTGTTACTGCCTGTGAGGGTCCAGACAGCTTCTGCCATTCAGTTGCTTTTTTGTTCGCTCGGCTTTCAAATTTTAGTGTAAACCATTGACTGTGTGAAAACAAGTTTAAACCTCACTAAAAGTGACAGCTTAAGACAATTTATGTTTTTGAGCATATTAAAATAACTTCAAAAACAGCCATTTAACACGACCTCGGAAAAGGTATAAAGATCAATTTCTGGCCATACCGCAAATATTGTTAGAATGTTTTTCGTCTCTATCCTTTCGAAAGATTCCTAGAGCTAATCCTTCAAAAACATAAATGATGGGCCCATGAGTCAGTTTAATGGGTACAAGCACTCACTAAACAAGCCTAAAAGTCTGAGTTAGACCCTGCAGAGGGCAGGGAACAGACTCCCGGGGACTGGTGCTCTGACCACCACACAAACAGAAAATGTAATTTATACGTTAAAGGCCGATTAATTTGTTTGGGAGGAGGGAGGAAACAATACCACCACCCCCAACATACTCAGCCCAGGGTGACGGTGCAATCCTGTAACCCCAGCAGCTGAGAGAAAGATCCAAGAGAATCAAATGTTTGGGGCCATAACAGGCTACAGGAGACCCGGTCTCAGAAAACAAAACAAGAAGGTTTTTAGGTTGTGAAGAATTAAAATACATGGTTCAGGTTGCCTTATAATGGTGTGGGGGTAAAATACATTAGTAAAAGAAGCTAATCAAAGTGAAAATATAAATAAACTACGGTGTATTGATCCCTGTCTTGTTGCTTTTAATAACTTCTCAAGATTGAGATGCATTTCGACTGTAGGGTTTGGAAGTATATAATCTCTCCCAAATTCTGAAAATGATGTTTCCTGTCTAATATTTCAAAATGAATTTTCATCTCTGAAGCACATTTAGGTTGGGTTTGGTTACCACTTTTTCGAGACTGGGCTTTCTTTCCTGCTGCAGTGTTTGCATTGACCTAAGATACTCTGCGTTGGTTGGTTCCTGCTGGTCACATTCTTGATCACTATTTAATCCGAAAGCACCTGTTAATTTCAGGAAGGAGCAAGTCTCTCAATTTGCAAAGTTTAGGTTAAAATAGGCAAATTAACTACATCGTCTTGGCATCATATTTTCTAGGAGCCGATATGTTCAGGACTGGGTAGACAAATGGCCAGGCTTGCATGTTTGGGCTTATTAACAGGGATTGTAGATACATGCGCGCAATATGCTTCTTGTTCATGTAGGCAAATGTTTTCTGTAAGCATCACAGCATAAAATTGTGTCTGGTTGTAATAAAAGTCAGGCTTTACACAAGGGATGTTTGGAATGTAGGAGGCATCTATCTATCTATTTATTTGTGTGTGTGTGTGTGTGTGTGTGTGTGTGTGTGTGTGTGTGTGTGCACATGCCACAGTGCTATTTGGAAGTCAGAGGATAAGTTACAGGAGTCACTCCTCTCCCTCTACCATCTGGACCTTGGGGATCAAAGTCAGGTCCCCAGGCTTTGTGGCAGGCTGAGCCACCTCTCCAGCACTGTATCCTTACAAAGAAAACCATAATACAACTTATTTTTGTCGTGGGGCTCACATATTTGGTCTCTCTTCAAAAAGCAGCCTGTCCTTAGAACACACACTTAGGTTAAAGAAAGTGGTTGAAAACTAAGCTATTAAAAATCTGTCTCTCAGGTGGGTCAAGTCTGTAATCACAGCACTGTAGAAGACTGAGTTAAGAGGTCATCCTGGACTACATAGTGAGACTAAAAAAAATAGATATGATCTTTCTTCCCTTGACTAAGGTGCCATGTAACACTTTATTTTGTGGTATCAGGGTTGTATTCGTAATGTTGGGTCCAAGTCTGGTTCAGAGGGACCACACCACTTTCTGAAGGAGAATCCCTTCCCAGGGTGCTTTTCTTTGGTCAAGATGAAGCAGGGAGCCTATCCTGGTGGCTCACACTTCAATCCAGCCTTCTGAGCGTTGGAGGCTAGCTTGGGGTACAGGGTGAGTTCCTGGTCAGTCGAGAGTGCAGAATGAGACTCTGAAATCAAACCAAATTCAACGCCGACCCTCATAGTGACTCAGTCTAGCAACTTGGTCAGATTCCAGAGGGCAGTAAACTTCACTGGCTTCAGCCACAATGGTGCGAGTTCAAAACACTCCTGCAGGTGCACACTTTCCCTGCTTTACCCGCATTCCCTGCACGTGTGCGCCCAGGCGGCAGGGCAGCCTGACCTTGCTGTTACTTGCGTGCTTTCTAGAATCACAAACCCCGGGAGGGAGGGAGTCTAGTAGAGATCGGTAGCAGGTTCTTCCAATTGGAGTTCCTGGAGAAGAGTGAACTCCAAGAATCACCTGCTACCGATCCTCCCTTTGATCTCAGCGGGGATCTTGGGCTAGCTGGGGAGCGAGCTGCGCTGCGCAGCTGGGCGCGGCAGACACAGGGGTAGCAGTATCCTTTGAAGCCTCAAGATGCCAGCGGTGAGTGACATCGGGGAGAGGAGGTCGGGAGGCCGAGGGAGCACTGTCCTCGCCGCGCTCCTGCTAGGCAGCCCCCGCTGGCACAGAGGCCCAGCACCTTTCGTTCGGCGGTCCAGACAAATCCTTGGGGATACCGGGGTACCTTGGGGCGCAACAACCTCTTGGGTTTGCTTGGTGCTGGCTGGCAGCATTCAGGAAGACGGGGGAAACAACAGAGATCCTGATCCCCCTCTCAAAGCCACTGGGGAGGGAAAATGGAGAACTGGAACTCCGCAGCTCTTTTGAGAGCACTATTCAGTGCTTTTCCTGAGGCGCGCTTCTACAGACCTCTTTCTCTCTTTCCCAGTCCTGGTCACCCAGCCACCGGCAAGGAAAGGACAATCCTGGCGACAGATAGGGTCTTAATACCCCTCGAGCTCCCACTTTTACCTGTCATTTGTTAGCACGCTGGTGAAAAACAAGTCTAGATGGACATGGGTCTTTGACTTCTTCTGTTTATACGTAATGATGGTAAAAATATTGCAAAAAAAAATACACTTGACATTAGGGATTTTGATTAAATTCCTACAAATAGGACTATTAACCTAAAGTAGATTTTCTTTAGTTTTGCCGTGTGTGAGACAGGGTCTCATTTGTCCAGACTGCTGTAGGTTCTCCACGTAGCTGAGGATAATTTTGAACCCTTGGTCGACCCCCCAAGTAGTGGGATTACAGGAAGTACCACCGCAGCCGGCTCCAGCAGCCATTTAGCAGAGATTTACTTTGTGTACCCCTGTACTTGCCCATGAAATTGTAAGAGACTGGGGGCTATGTGTAAAGGCAGAACCGTCAACCAGGCACCGCCCCTTGATGAAAATGTACCAGCCCACTACAGGTTTGGAAACTTGCCTGTGCTGTGGCTATTTAAACCTTGACATTTCACTATATAAGCCCGAACTTTGTCACAAATAAAAGGAGCTTATGTTTATCCTGTACGGACATTTATTCAGGCCCCCCCCCCCGTTTGTGAGATGGTGCTTTGTTTCCACAGACCACGTCCAAGGAGATAACATTAAAAAATAACCCACTCTCTTATCTAAACCTATGATTAGTGATATGTACAGACAACAAAACCTGTTCAAAAAAGCTGCGTAAACATTTATTTTTAGAATTTGAAATGAGGTTTTTATTCCTCTTTTCTTTCTTTCTTTCTTTCTTTCTTTCTTTTTTTTTGGTTTTTAGAGACAGGATATCTTATTTCCTTTTTTAAAGAACATCTTTTTATTGTACACAGAAAAACAAAAATCCTCTGCAGTCTATTAAGGAGGATACTGGAACAGGCAAGACCCAAGGTGCTTTCTGGGTAATGATAAAGTTTATTTTCTATTTTATATGTGTTATAGTTGGGAGTTCTGGGTGGCTCCTCAGCCCCGTTGTTCCTTAAGCCTGGAGCAGAGAAATCCTGGCTTACTCTACTGTGGTATCACATGCTAACCATACCTGGGGGACTTTCCAGAAACCTACCGTAAATTATCCTGTGTCTAGCATTTATTCCGAGTAGAAGTAGCCAGCACTGAAGACAACAAATTCAATGCCTATCCTCAAGGAACTTAGGCCCCACAGAGAGCCAAGCACCAGCTGCCCAAACTTGATAGAGCAGGGCTGTAGTGCAGGAAAGCACCTGGCCTGCTCGGTTTAAGGCGGTCCTGGAAGCCCTTCCTGTCAATTGGTACTGAAGAGAAGGTGAGGCTCAGGAATCCTGACATAACTGTGTGCAAAAGCCTGAGGCAAGCAAGACCTCACCTTGTTCTAGATATTAGCTTTCTTTTTCTCTCCTCTTTTGTTTACTGACCCTTAACCGGTGAGCCTGGGCTTGAAGATTTGGTTTAGACTTGGGTGCTTTCACCTGTTTACCCATAAGTGAAGAGTGGTTTTCCTTAAGTCCATCATTGTCGAACCACGGGGAGTCTGAACTCTAAGAAACCCCAAGGAGACACAGCTGCTGCAGGGGCCCCACTGACCCCACATCTGGAACTTTTGTCTGGTGCTAATGAATGCTCTGATGTTCTGATAAGTGATTATCAATAGACACTACTATTTTCTAGTTCCCATGTCTAGACCTTTTGTCTAAAGCTAATGAAAACTAATATTTTGAGTGATTGTCAACAGACATTTTGCTATTTTATAGTTCAAGACTGATGTCTTTATTGTATTTTTGATTTATATTATCTCACACTGAGTTATAATTATTATTTGCAGTAAGGATGTTGGCACAGAAGGTCTTTCTCATGCTAGACAAGTGCTCTACCACTGGACTATATCCCCAGCCACAAAATTACATTTATTCATTTCTTTAGTGGTGCTGGGCCTTGAACCCAGGACCCTGGCTGTGCTAGGTGGAAGCTCTATCATTTAGCTACATCCCCAGCTCTCACAGAATTTTTGTTGAGTATACCATTATTTTAAAATATTGATATAAAATGAATGTGCTTTGGAAAATTAATAATCCACACACCATCTCCTTTCCAGCTTCAGTCTCTTGTCAATGATGCATTCCATGGCAAAGGATTTCACATAATAGAAGAATATCTGCAGCAGAAAGAGAGTCACGTGCCTCAAAAATACAACCATCTCCTCCTACACCATATTGACAGACTGATAAATGAGGCGAGTGGTTTGATTTGTTTTGAGGCCTGAAAAGCCAATGTGTGTGCAATGGGAAGCATTCTGAAGTCAGTGTGTTCTGATGCCTAGGAACTGGATAAAAATGAGTTCTGGAATTGTTCCCTGCTGCTGAAATGTATCCAGAGATTCTTCAAAGATGACCCAGACCAAGAGGAGCCCTTGCTAATTCAGCAGGGACTGATCCCAAAGATAAGTGCACTTTACATTTAGGAGGCTTGGGGCCCTTTAGAAAATCAGGATGAGGGATTGAGGGTGCTGCCCAAGAGTGAAGCATGTGCCTAAGGCGTGTGAGGCCCTGGGTGGGGGTGGAATCAAATAATAACTAGTATGCTGGTGTGGTGGGGTTGCATGATTTTAATCCCAGCACTTGGAGGCAGAGGGAGGAGGATCTTTGAGTTAGAGGCCAGCCTGGTCTACAGAGTGAGTTCAGGACAGCCAGGGCTACACAGAGAAACCCTTTCTCAAACAAACAAACAAAACAAAACAAACCCCAAACAAAAAACTACCATGAATTTAATTAGATAGTTTGATGTTTTTTCTTTTGAAATCAAATTTGAAAAAAAAATAGAGTCCAACCTTGTTGCTTCTGTCCCATAATTCATGTTGGACATTTCAGTTATTATATCTGAAGTTCTGGGGGATTGAACTCAAACTCTGCATGTGCTCGGTAAATGCTCCACACTTGAGCCAAGTCTTCACCCCTCATGAAGAGCATTTTGAGGAAATATGGAATCACATAGTTTTGTAATAAACAACCACTGTTCTCAACAGGCCTATGTGTAGTGATGGCATTTTGCTGGCGGAGGGGGAACAGGGTCGGCTGTAGACCAAGCTGGTCTCAAACTTGCTAACAGGGTGGCCTTGAAATTCTGCTCTCCCTGCTTACAGCTTTTGAGTTCTGGGCATAAAATTTAAGGCTTTCTGCATGATACATCTAAGTTACTTCCCAAGACCATCTTTATTTTTAAAATTGTGTGTGTGTGTGTGTGTGTGTGTGTGTGTGTGTGTGTGTGTACACACCCAGAGGTACTAGATTCTCTGGAGCTAGAGTTTATAGGTGGTTGTGAGCTGCCAGACATGGGTGATGGGAACTAACTCTGGTCCTCTGCAAGAGCAATTGTTCTTCCAACTGCTGAGCCATTTCTATAGCCCTCTATATATCAATATCTAGATTTTTTTTTTCTGAGACAGACTTTTGCTATATAACCCCAGGCTAGCCTCAAACTTATAGCAGGCTTCCTGCCTCAGCCTCCTAAGTGCTGGGCTTGCACACAGATGTATGCTGCTAAGCTCAGCTAGTAATAGCATGCTAGTTTCAGAGACTTTGGGGAAGATGAGGTGAACAGGGATCTGGCTCTCTATCTGAGTAGACTTCCTGAACATGATCAAACATAGAAAGATCATAAAAAACTTCCCATTGATCTTGACACACCTCTCCATTCTTCTAAATCCTCAGTCTAAAAAAAAAAAAAAAAAAAAAAAAAAGGAGCAAAGATTTTTTTTGCTTATCCAAGTTTCATGAGTGACAACATTTTACTGCTTTTTAAGATTAGCCAGGTAGTAACGGTGAGTACGTATATCAACGGCAGCTGGAAGCATCGCAGTGTACAAACCTCACTGCTGCTCTCACTCTACAGAGCAGAGCGAAGGAGGTTTCTGCTGCCCTGTTTATGGGAAGGAAGGTGCAGGGAAGGAATGCAGTGGCCAAAGGCAACCAGGAGAGGGAGAAGTCTCTGCCCTTCCGCCTGGGCTGTCTCGCTCTTAGAGTTTACCAAGACGCGATTGGGCCAAGAAAGGACCATTTTAAAAGACACTGCCACTCATTCTGGGGCTGCCTCTTCCCGGGAGAGAGTAGACTGTAGGTTTGCCCAAACTCTTTTCTGGTTTTTTGTTTTATTTAATGTCATTGAGCATATGTTGTGTGTCTAGTGCATGTGAGTGTGGTTGTATGTGCGCCACTGTGTGTGTGTGTGTGTGTAGGTGTGTAGGTGTGTAGGTCAAATGACAACTTTTGGATGTCAGTTGTCTCCTTCCTCCATGGATTCTGATAAGGAAACTCAGGTCATCAGGTTTGATGGCATGCACTTTTACCCACTGAGCTTTTAAAATGCTACAGAGGGCATTAATGACTATGTTTTAGCTGGGTCTGGTGGCTCAGGTCTGGAATCCCAGCTATTTGGGATTCTAATGCAGGAAGATTGTAAGTTCGAAGGAAATCTGGCCTGCGGAGTGAGTTCAAGAGCCGTCTGGGCAGCTTGTACATTGTCTCAAAATAAAGGGTAAAGGATGTTCCTTTATAGTAAAGTCTCCTGTGGGGCTTCTCCTGCTTTGGGGAGTTCTTTATAATGTTTCCCTAATAAATCTATGTTTGCTTTTTTTTTTTTTCCAACAGTAAAAGAAAAGAACAGGTAAAAAGAAAACTAGGGATGTAGTTCAGTGATAGAGCACTTGTCTAGCATGGATGAGACCCAATATCCAGTACCACTGAAAACAAAAGGCATGATTTAATTTTGTATTTGATGTTCCTTAACTCCCTGGTGCCCTAACTTGTACAGACAATAGAGGGCAAGGAAGAGGAGATAAACCTCAAAGGAAACAGCAGGGACGCCCCACAGGCACTTTGGAAACTAAGCTGGTTGCTAAGGAGTTGTGAATTGGAGTATGCCCCAACCTGGTTTTCTTCTCTAGGTCTTAAAGGCTACATCAGCCGCTTCACTCATTTTTATGACATAAAGCCTTAAGCAAATTCAGGAAGTGTTTGTTTTGGCTCACAGTTTGAGGGTAAAGTCCATCATGATGAGAGTCACAGCTAGAGGAGCACGAGGTAGCTGGTCACCTTGCAGCCACAGTCGGGAAGCCCATGGAACTGAATGCTGGTGCTCAGTTCTTGTTTTTGTTGAGTCTAGGACCACAGCTTGTAAGACAGTGCCATCCACATTCATGATGGATCTTCCCTCCCTGGTTAATTCTTCTGGAAACAACCTTGCAGACATACCCAGAGGTGTGTTTCCATGGTGATTCTACATCCAGTCAAGTTGGCAATGAAGGTTAATGATCACAAATGCTCTCCCAATGTGTAAAAAATGGGTCCCATCAAATCCCTACTGGATTTTGAAATGGAAGTTTCCATGTTCTATCCAAACTCTATTTGCTGATGAGATTGTCACAACTATCTCAGGCACCTTCCGAAGGGTATATTACTTCATGTACATTTTGACCAATGAGAACAGATAGACATTGTCGAGGAGAAAGGGATACTTGATTCTGTACTGTAAAACTAAGTGTAGGCTCAGCACACTTAGAAATTAATTCTACTTCATAGAGCAAGAATTCCCTGCAGAAAGCCAATATCTAGCTCTGTCCCTAAGACCCAGGAGGACTCAGCATCATACCCTTAAGCCATTACTATTGTCCAGTGAGGAAGCTGGGCGTCTGGTAAATGATGTACCATTGGGATACACAAGAGGGCTTTGAGAATGCCTCTTATTCTTTTTTTCTATTATTTGTAACAATTTTTAGTTTTGTTTTATTTTATAATTAATTTAATTTAATTTTACATATCAGCCACGGATTCCCGTCTTCCCTCCCCGCCCCCCAGCTTTCCCTCCCCAATCCACCCCCAATTCCCACCTCCTCCAAGGCAAGGTCTCCCCTGGGGAGTCAGCCCAGCCTGGTAGATTCAGTTGAGGCAGGTCCTTCTTATTCTTAAGCATCAAGATCAACTACACAGAACCATCCCCCCTTTCCAACTCGTAATTTCCATCAATGGTTCATGCCCCTCATGCTATGTTCAACTGATGATTTATGACTTTATATGCATGTATTTTCTTACCCTCCTTTGTGTATGTGTGTTACTAGAGATTGAACCCAGGACTTTGCATGCTAGGAGGGTTCCCTAAGCTATATCTCTAGACCTGTTTTTCTGTTTTTATGAGTGGCAAGTTTCAGCAAAAATGGTCCAAAGATGGCCCACACTTTACTGAGTACATCTATTTCAAGATGTCAGGGAAGTTATTTTCAAGTATTCTAAGCATAGCATGAAATTGAACTGATATTCTTATGGGGGTAAAATTCCAATGAGCCAAAAGCTCTTAGAAGAAGAAAGATAACAAGGCCTGAGGTACAGTTTCTATAGTCATGAAGCAATGCCCAAGCTGTTCATCATTTTGTTTAATTTGGTTTTGTGAGAGGATCTCACTGTGTAGTTTAGACTGGCCTTGAATGCACAGAAGTCCTCCTGCCTCCTCTTCCCAAGTCCTGGGCTTCTAGGCATGCTCTACCACACCTAGCTCATTCGTCTTTTTTGATTGTTTGCTTTCTATAGCTTCTCAGAGCCATACTATTGCTCTGTGCTGCACAGGCCCACCTAACCCTGAACTCTCCGGCAGCCTCTTCTGTGGGTGTTTTGGCACCAATCCTCATCAAGTGTCCCATTTTTACTGATGTGTGTGACTTATCCTAATTCTAGACTTTCTGACTTGCTCTTGGTGGATGGGAAGCCTGTATCATGTGAGGGAACAGGTGTTCGGTTGCTTTCTCTAGTGGGAGATTGTCTTATATATCTTGTGAGGTAGGTGGTACTCATTCGGGCCATGGGGTTCTATCAGCATCTCTTCTGTGCACATGGTTTCCTGGTTTGAGACAGTCACAGGATTTCTGATGACAAACATCATGGCCTCAGATGCCCTGCTGACTACTGCCCTGGGAGACTTCCTGGACACTGCACTGGTAAGGATGGGAAGGTTCAAGGGACGATGCCAACAGTGATGGGCAGGAATCTAAGTGATCTGCAAAACTTCCTTCTGTTTTAAGTTCAGATTTAAAAAGAAATCTTTTATGAAGTTGGACTTTTATAAGATGTGAATTTTAAAAGACTTTTATGATTAAGTCATTGTGTGAAAGAGTAACAGACATTAATATATTCAACCAATGACATAGGAAACTGAGAGTTCATTTATTTTATATATTCTAACATGTTATTTGTGTGACTGTAGGGAATGTGTTCATTTTAATGAGGTAACTGTAATTCTAACAGTCTTCTAGTGGGTTTTTTCTTCAGTTTCTGTCCGTTAGTATTCATGTGTTAGTGTTGGAATGTATGATGCTTTGAAGTAACAAGCTGCACTTTTCCTTCCCGTTCATCAGGTCATTTCCAGGCACAGCAGGAAAGGTACGCATATGAGCAATTACTAATTGGCTATTTTTCATGAAGAGAACATCTTGGCACCGATAGTTTCAATGCCAGGCAAGGGTGAAATTTAAACACATCTAGATTTATCAACCACTTGACACAGTCCTGCTCTGATGCAGGAAGGCATTTTTTTGTGAAGCATGTCTCAGTTTTCTGCAATGTATTGGTGGCTCTGGTCACTGCTGTGTGGCAATCCTCTGTTCAAGTAGTAGAGAGCCATTTTGTCTCCAAAGCAGCAGGAGTTTTAGCTGGGTTTGGACCTGGTTTCTGCCTAGGTTCACTCGCTAGAGGCTTGGTCCAGCGGGGGCCTACTGTGAAGCAGTTAGATCACCATGGCACAGCTCTGTGAAGGGATTAATCATGTGTGAGACTGAACTAGAACTCGTGAGAACAGGAACTAACTGCTGGAATTACTTATTAGAAAGAGTTGGGCTGTTGCCTTTTGCTTTCACGCTGCCCACGTGACCTCTTCCACACCGTGTTCCTGCCACTGTGACTCCATCCACCATGGGTTCCTCCCCAGAAGTCACAGACTATGCCGCCATGCTTTAGAGCCTCCAGAGCTGTGAGCTAAATCATCCTCTTTTCTTTGTTAAACAGACTCAGCTTCAGGTATCTGGTTATAGCAGCGGACAGTTGCCCAAGACACAAACCAGCAAGGTTTAGCTACTATTGACTTAACTTGGAACTGATATTGATTTACTTTGGAGCCAATGAAAATAGCTTTGCCTTTCTAGAGTGTACAAGGTAAAATACCCACAAGGCAAAGATTTGTTCCATTCAGTTCCAGTTAAAGGGTAGTTGGCATTTTGAAATATGATCGCCTGGAAGCAAAGATGCACTTGGGATGTTTGAGAATCCCAGAACATGTGGCCATCACAATATGAAATGTCATTTTTCCCGGGGTGCCACTCGGTTTTAAGAAGCTGTTAATGTTATGTTCCACAAGGGATGGTGATTGAGGAAACTTAGCACCAGGAGTTTAGGTGCATACTGCACCTCTGAGTACTTGGGAACAATTGCCAACTGCATGGTGGTAAGAAGCTATGAGCAGCAGAAGCATGGGCAGCTATTTGCTCACATCTCAGTAGATCAGGGAGCAGAGATGAATGCTGGAGATCTGGCTTTCTTCCTTTTCTTTCCTTTTTTCTTTTTCTTTCTTCCTTTTTCTTTCTTTCTTTTTTTTTTTTTGGAGACAGGGTTTCCCTGGCTGTCTTGGGTCTTGCTCTGTAGACTAGGCTGGCCTGGAACTGACAGAGATCTGCCTGCTTCTGACTCCTGAGTGCTGGAATTAAAGGTGTGTACCACCACTGCCCAGCTCGAGATCTGGCTTTATTCATGCTAGCCCCAGCCCATGGAATGGTGCCACCCACTGAAAAGAATATTCAAGCTAATTGTTTCTAGAAACAGTATAACAGACACAGAAGAGAGATGTGACCTAAGTGATTTTTAAATGCAGTGAGGCCAGCAATGAAGACTAGCCATCCCAGTCTCCGGCTGCCCTACTATAATTTCAAAGCGCATCATTAGGGGGTGGGTGGGCATGGTCAGAACTTTTGAACAGTTTGTATCTCTGACTTTAGTTCAGTAGAATTCTTGCCCTGCCTTCTGTCCACATCATAGCCCTGCTTCATTCTCTTGTGTTGTTGAAGCTATAGGCAGGAACCTGTGGGTATATGCACACACACACACACACACACACACACACACACACACACACACACACACACACACACACACACACACACACACACACACACACACACGGTTATGTTACATGGCTCATGAATGCTGAATCCAATCTTCAGGAAAATTTGCTCTTTGATTATTTTATCTATGTGCAAAAATTCTCAGTTCTGACACTATCCACTCACTCCATTCCTCACCAGTGCTCAGTGTGTTTAGAGTTTTCAAGTTTTTCTCAGAAGGCATTGTTATTTTCTCTCATTGCTTCTTCCCCAGACCTGGATTCTGTAAACATAACCTTCCCCTCAAGGCTCCTCCCCTCAAGGATGGTGGCGGTCAGCCTCTGCTCTCAGGTCTGCCCTCCACTCTTTAGTTGGTGTTGCAAAAGGCTGCATTTCACGGGCCCTCTTGCCAACTGATAGACTGCTCGATTTAGTGCAGGAAAACTAATGTGGGGGAACAAATAGGACATTTCCTCCCCTCCTTCTGTTGGGGTAGCACCTTCTTAAGTATCTTCATTGTCCTTGTGGTTCTGGCCCAGCTGAGTTTTTCTTCTTTCCTTCCTTCCTTCCTTCCTTCCTTCCTTCCTTCCTTCCTTCCTTCCTTCCTCCC